ACACACACACACACACACACACACGGGACCTGAAAGGCTGCAGCACATTCAGGCTTTCCTCCTGCTTTCTCCGTCTCGCTCTTTTTCTGCCATTGTTGTGGCGCGGTGCAGCTGCCACGCGAGCCGGAGTGGGTCGCGTGCCAACCCTAATCTCAACAGGTGTTCTTTTTGTGCCCTCCCTCTAACACCAAACTTTTCGTTGTTTGTCTTCAGTCTTTCTCTTTGAGTAAGCCCCCCCCCCCCCAGCTCTCAGTATGATTAAACAAAATCTGCACTCTAATTACTGCAGGTGAGATTGCTTATTGTGTGAGGATTCAAAGAGCAAACGTAAGTGAAATAAGTTTAAAATATTTAAACCATACAAATATAAAAAAGTTACTTGTGACTTATATGACTTTATTATGTACAAGTGTATCAGTGTGCAATAAATTAAAGACATAGTTCCGATTCTTTCAAGCAGTGTTGTGTAGAAAGGTCATAAACAGTTAATATCTTACCTGTTGTGCAAAGCTCAATCAGCTTTAATGTGGAGACATAAATCTTAAATGTGACCAGACCGATGAGCTACTGGCTAGTCTTAGTGAAGGTCAGGCCAGGAGAGTGGCTGCCTTCTTTAAGGCTCGCCTCGGTTCACACTAAACACCATTTTAAAACTTTGATTTTTCCATCAGTTTTCACAGTCCATGCTCATTGTGGCCACAGCTGTTTGATGTATTTGTAGAAAGTTCCCCAGGTTGCATCAGAAGTGCTACAGCTAGCTGCTGCTACCACTATTTGCTGTTGTGAATAACCATATAGTTCTGTGTGAATAAGTGTGAATTGAAGTAAAAGTTTATGACATTGTGTTCTCGTGAAAATTTTGAGCTATAAGTTGTTTTAAAGGGATATTCCCATTATTTTTGAAAAGATGTTCAGACAAAAAGTAGTTGATAGCTTGTCAGCTGTGACATCAGGTATGGAGCAGGTTGTGTGGAGGAAAGGGCAGAAGTCTTCATCCAGGCTGGAGTAAAGGCTAACGAAGGGCTGAGACGTTGCAAATGCATTAGTCAGCAGTGTATTCAGGTTTTATGCTCAAATTCATTCAACCTTTATTTATACAGGTTAATCCCATTGAGCCTCGGGGACTCATTTAGAAGAGAGACCTGAATATGTTTTTGTAGTAAACGAACAGTGTCGTACAGGAATGTAGAGGTTTAACATTAGCTAATGTGAAGTTCTTTTACACGTTGTTTTTGAGACAGAGATGTTTTGAAGATATGAAAAAACTGGCACTTGTGTGTATAGCTCTTAGCTCAGCCTGGATGAAAACTTATGCCCTTTACTGTGCGTTTTCTGACTGATACCACGACTGATAAAATACCAAGTACAGACAAAATATTCCTTTCAAAAATGACCAGACTGTCCTTATAAGGCTACAGAAACTCAGAACCAGTCGCTAGCTCATCAGCTGGTTCAGAATAAAACTCTGTTTCTCCAAACTGAGCTCACGGAGCTATCTACAGCAGGTAAGATGTTTAATGCTCATGGATTTTTTACAGAGCTCAGCTTAAGAAGAACAACTGAAATGATTGATTTGAGAACTTTAAATGCAGTTAAAATTAATTACTACATATATTACTGTCTAAATAAACGTTGAATGAATGAATTACATAAGGTAGTCTGTTCACTCCTTGCTTCTGTCTAACTTCCTTGCATGCTCCTCTCCCCACTCTCCCCACTCTCTCCTCTCTCTCCTGGTTTCTGCTCTGTTTAGATCCGTTTGCTTCACTGGCTTGAACGTTAGATGAGGGAATGCTGCCAATCCCCCCTCCCCCTCCATCTCTTCTTTCTTTCTCCTCCCCATCTTAGATAAATCTGATCTGAGGTCATCTGTTGTTCAGAACACTGACACCATATGGTCCACCACCCACTCACCACTTCCATGAAAACTTCCAATCTTCCCATATTTAAATATT